AAATCGTATATAAGTCAGCTTGGGTTCTACGTCTTTTCGTCTTGAAGTCTCTGTCTATTCTTGTGTTGTTACGAGCTGAATAAAGAAATCACTTGTTCAAGAAGCTGCCTCATCTTGGTTCAGAACAGGGTCCTACCTCCTTGGGACGGATTCAGGCCCATCTGAAGCAGGAGCTACGGCAAACAGTGGCACCAACGGGCCTCCTGCTACGGATGCCACTCCCCAACCACCTCAAACGCAGCACTCTTTGAAGGGGACTTGAATGGTATATTTCTGCATCGACTCGCCAATGGCTCATCCACACATGCACGCACACTGATTGCACTGCACTCAAGGCCCAGTCGCTGATGGTGAGACCCCGGCCTTTGAGGTGACCCGGGGACTCTGTCCACAGCGTCAGATCCTGTAATGGCCCATTTGCACACACCAATCAGCCTCGGATGTTCCAGTCGTGCTGCAACAGCCCAGCCTCTCCAAGAATAAAGCGTAGGGTGACCTAGGCATTGCAAACATCTGACCAAGGCAGCATTGACTTGAAGGAGGAGGAGGAAGAAGGGATCGGATTTATACCTCGCCTTCGCTACCTGAAAGAGTCTCAGAGCATCTTACAATCTCCTTTCCTTTCCCCTTCCCGCAGCAGACACCCTGTGAGGTAGGTGGGGCTGAGAGAGCTCTTTCGAGGACTTCCCGTAAGAGAACAGCTCTGAGAGAACTTGTGACTGGCCCACGGTCACACCAGCAGCTGCATTTGGAGGAGTGGGTAATCAAACCAGGTTCTCCCAGATTAGATTTCGCACTCCTAACCACTAAACTAAACAGGTGAAGAAGGAGGAGGAGATTAGATTTATACCCTGCCCTTCACTCGGAGTCTCAGAGCGGCTTACAATCCCTTTCCCTTCTTCTCACCACAACAGACACCCTGTGAGGGAGGTGGGGCCGAGAGAGCTCTGACAGAAATGGCTCTTTCTCTAGAACAGCTCTGACAGAACTATGGCTTGCCCAAGGTCACACCAGCAGCTGCATTTGGAGGAGCGGGGACTCAAACCCGGTTCTCCCACATTAGAGTTCGCACTCCTAACCACTAAACCAAACTGGTGAAGGAGGAGGAGGAGGAGGAGATTAGATTTATACCCTGCCCTTCTCTCGGAGTCTCAGAGCGGCTTACAATCCCTTTCCCTTCTCCTCCCCACAACGGACACCCTGTGAGGTAGGTGGGGCTGAGAGAGCAGGACTGCCCTTGAGAGAACAGCTCTGACAGAACTTGTGACTGGCCCACGGTCACACCAGCGGCTGCATGTGGAGGCGTGGGGAATCAAACCCGGTTCTCCCAGATTAGAGTCCGCGCTCCTAACCACTACACCAAACTGGCTCTCAACTGGAAGCTTATACCATCTCCCCAATCTTGTTGGTCTCTAACGTGACCCTGCCTGCAGCCCTCCCGTCCACCTACCAGGGATGGGGCGCCCCCCAAAGGTGATGTTGACATCGTAGTCGCCCGGTGTGAACGGGATGTACTCCACGCTGCAGCTCCCATCTTTGTTGTCCTTGCAAGACATCTTGGCCTCCGACGGGCCCTCGATGGCCAAGCCGAGACCGCCCGTTCCAGCACCCCTGCAGAGAAACGGAAGAGACCGGTCAAGCGCATTCGCACAGGATCGGCGTGCAGCCATTTGCAACGACTGTGTTTTCTGTGGAACGTGCACTATTGGGCAAATCTGGCTGTGGGTTTGCAGATCCTGTGTGCTTTAAATCTGGAGTTCTTTTGCATTTGCAATCTGTTTCGGTTCTCTTAATGGGACTGTTATAATATACAGGTGGGGTAGCTGGGTTGATCTGAAGCAGCGGAGCAAAATTTGGGTCCGGTGGCAGCTTTAAGATCAACACAGTTTTATTCAGGGTAGAAGCTTTTGTGTGCACGCACACTTCATCAGATACAATGAAATGGAAATGATCAGTCCAGGCTAGAGGAGAAGAAGAAAGATTGGATTTATAGTGGCTCAGAGCGGCTGACAATCTCCTTTCCCTTCCCCTCCCCATGACAGACACCCCGCGAGGTAGGTGGGGCTGAGAGAGCTCTTTCAAGGACTGCTCTTGTGGGAACAGCTCTGAGAGAACTTGTGACTGACCCAAGGTCACACCAGCAGCTGCATGTGGAGGAGGAGTGAGGAATCAAACCCGGTTCTCCCAGATTAGAGTCCGCGCTCCTAACCACTGGACCAAACTGGCTAGCCTGACCTTGTCAGATCTCGGAAGCTCTGCCTATATGTACGGACTAGTAATTTCCATTTCATTGTATCTGATGAACTGTGCAGGCACACAAAAGCTTATACCTTGAATAAAACTTTGTTGGTCTTAAAGGTGCCATTGGACTCTAACCTTGTTCTACTGCCATTCCAATGCATTTGAAAAAGTGTGCATGCATATGAAAGCTCACACCTTGAATGAACCTTTGTTGGTCTTGAAGGTGGCACCGGACTCTGAATTTGTTCTACTGCTTCAGACCAACACGAAATTCCACACAGGAACACAAATACATGAACCTGCCTTATACTGAATATACTGAATCAGACCTTGTTCCATCAAGGTCAGGGAGCTTCAGGGTCACCTAAGTCCAACCCCCTGCACAAGGCAGGAAATTCACAAATACTCAGAGGGAAGCGACTCTCCAGGGTCTCAGGCGGAGGTCTTTCTCATCACCTCCTGCCTGGTCCTTTTCTAACTGGGGATGCCACCAGGGATTCAACCTGGGACCTTCTGCCTGCTAAGCAGAGGCTCTGCCACTGAGCCACAGCCTCTCTTTACAGCTCTCCAGGGTCTCAGGCGGAGGTCTTTCCCATCACCTCCTGCCCGGTCCTTTTTAACTGGAGATGCCGGGGATTGAACCTGGGACCTTCCGTATGCCAAGCAGAGGCTCTGCCACTGAGCCACGGCTCCTCTTTGCAGCTCTCCAGGGTCTCAGGCGGAGGTCTTTCACATCACCTCCTGCCTGGTCCTTTTTAACTGGGGGTGCCGGGGATTGAACCTGGGACCTTCTGCATGCCAAGCAGAGGCTCTGCCACTGAGCCACGGCCCCTCTTTACAGCTCTCCAGGGTCTCAGGCGGAGGTCTTTCCCATCACCTCCTGCCTG